TTAGGTAATTTTATGTTTTTCTTTGAGAGTCCGTGATGACGCTGGAGAAATGAGCGAATTGCGAGAAACAATACTTTATCATTTTTTTCATTTATCGATAAAAGCCTCTTGGCAACGCAGATGTATTATTGCTTCGTCTATCATTTTGTCAGCGTAAACAAATGAAATTTTTTTCCTTGATAGAGTTATTCATGGAATTAAACGTTTATCATTTGAATAATACCTTGACATTGCAATAGTCTTGAAAGCGTGAAATTAGCAAATTGATAGTCAATTCATACATATGATGCGTTCGGGGAGACACTATTAGCACTTTGTCATGCTATCTTCGTTGTTTATTAGATGTAAAACAAAGATAGAATACATAAATAATTCTAACAGCGTCTTCCCGAACGCACTTATACATTTGAGTTATTCTATTTATACCTGTTTGATATAACTAATGACTGAAATTTGTATATTAATGCGAGAGAGAGAGAGAGAGAGAGAGAGAGAGAGAGAGAGAGAGAGAGAGAGAGAGAGAGAGTGAGTGAGTGAGTGAGTGAGTGAGTGAGTGAGTGAGTGAGTGAGTGAGTGAATTGATAAGCAATATTTTAAGGCTCTTGAGTAGCCAACATATGATTCAAAATCAAGCGGCCTGGCGAAATGTGGCGAAATCGATAGCCCCACACACACACAAGCACGAGCACGTACATGTTCTTTCGCCGCATGTACATAGACTCGTGCTTTTGTGTGTGTGTGTGTGTGTGTGTGTGTGTGTGTGTGTGTGTGTGTGTGTGTGTATTAAAGCGCGTGGAAAAATGACGTTTTGATGACGAAATTTGTGTTGCATACTATTTCGTTATTATTTGCTTAATTATGAAAATGTGACGTGTCTCGTACTTATAAAAGTCTTAAAAATGGGCAGAAACTATAGTTGTTCTTGAATTTTATACGTAAAAGCGTATATTTCATTCATTTCAATAGTTGTTCAAACCGTGTGTTTCCGAAATTAGGCTCATTTTATCTGCCTGACTAAAGGAAAAAAAGACAGTTTCTGCCCTTTTTTACAGATATTTCAAAGCAATCTCGTCATTTAGATTTATCCAAATTGTCTTTATTTACAAATGGCTTGCAGCATAAATTTATGTATCATTCCTCACTTCTGATTCCAACATGGCCGCAATTACTCAGGAGCCTGAAAATTGTGAAATTTGCAAATTGATAGCGTCTTATATATGTATAATATGATTATATGGAAAAAAACACAGCTGAAAACTTCACTGATTCAGCAAATCTACAGTTGTAATATACAGACAGTCAATTTTCTATGTTAAAATAGCAAAATGGACAGCTGAATAACATTAGCAATTTGTTAAATAATTAAATCTTCTTAGTTATTGATATTGAATTCGCATAATAAATTATAAGTTTGCTGTACCATCCAATTAATTTTTTTTCCGTGTAGATATTTTCGCAACGAAAAACTTTATGTTGAGAGAGAATATTTGAATGTAAAGAAAATATTTAATTCAATAATAATAATAATTTATTTTAAAAATAATACAATTATTCATATTTTAACATGTTTGGTGAGACAACAAAGTAATCACCTCAAAATGCGGAATTGTCTGGAATGTCTGGTCTTTAGTCATGATATTTTTATTCATTCATGTCTTCGTATATACTGAATCTATTCGTTATAATGAATGACTAGAATTTGCATATTGAAGGAGGATAGTAAGATACTCTTTTATTTTCATACTTCTACTGTCAAGAAATAATTTAAATATCTATTCTATTCTAATTGTACCTATATAACGAACTAATAAAAGAATAATAGAAGAATAATTCTCGATAATACAAGTAAATAATTTATCGAAGTTATATTGCCAAAATTTGAAATTTTTTAATAACCTATGAATATCTATACTTAAATGGAAATGTCAAACAATGCAACAAACAGTTTAATAAATATATAAATAGCCATTTCGATCGATCCAGGGATGACCATGAACTCTAACATGCAAATCGATTTGGAATGCACGTGTTCACTTCTTGATCAAATTATAGATAACAAAACGCAAGAAATACTATACATATTGATTGTGTTTGAATTATTTGACGTTTTAAATATGGAAATCAAGAATAAGTATATTTTCGGCATATTACGGCACTGTTTTATTTAGTGGTTTTTTATTGCCATTTCTTTTTTTTAAGCTGTTTGTATTTTTCCTTTATGAAAATAAAATATTGAATACACTCACTATATTTAAAACAACATTAAATAAAAACTAATCTCAGCAAATTTTTCTTTAAATGCGCGTCAAAACGTGCGTCATCTTTCACAAAATATATAAATATAATTAAACATTTAATAATATTCGGTATTAATTACATCATTTTTCAAAAATAGAAAAATTATTGACCAATTCAATATACATATCTATGTATGTGTATATTATATACATATGTATATTATATACATATGTATATTCGATAAAAGCGGCATTAATTTCGCTGGTATAATCAGATATTATTTCGACAACAAAAATCAGGTTTTAAAAATTTAACATTTATATGATTATTGCGCACTTATATTACTTTAAAGTGACTTATCAACTTATATAACTTGTGCATTGCAATCTTTTAAATGTTACGCTTGATTGAACGAGAAAATCTTGAAAAAAATAAATTGCATAATTTTTTTCAAGTATTACAGTACAAAAATATTACATTAATATATTATACATATGTATGATATATTAATGTAATATTTTCTAAAGAATTATTTCTAAAGAATTCTATAACATAAAATAATGCAATTTATTACAGTTTCGATTTTGTTAATTATTTTACGTGTACAAAAATTATCACATTACTATTGAATACGATTGTGAAATAAATATAAATAGAAATCGCACAGAATTCTCGCGTGATTTATCGTCATGCGTCATGCACCGAAAATCGGAATCGTCATAATGGAAAATCATCGTTATGGAAAGAGTAGACATCTGTTTAGCATTCGAAGGTCCATATACCCTACTTTTCCCTATCGCGCTTAATTCGCGCAATGACTTCGCAGCCGCAACGAGAACACAATATTAACACATTTCTCTTTGCGTTCACAATGACGAATTGTCACGTGCATTGATTGTGACTAACATGTTAGGATTTTACGCTACTCATTGCAAGAGAAAAAAATTTTGTTTTGACTTGCAAGATTTGAGAGAGTTTATAATAATAGGTCTTCTCTCTTCTTATTCTGCAATTTTAGTCACGAAGAAAGATCAGTTGAATAGAAAGCAAGATAGAATAAAAACAAACCACAAAAATATCCGCTGGGATTTATTGAACGAATAAAGTTCAGGTGATAGCAATAAAATGTATTATAGTATATTAAGAAATACTATCGTATTAAAGAAAAAGTTTTAAGTCTTCTTATCTTGAAATTAATGATTGCAAAATTACTCAAGGCAATTCAATAAGTTATTCATTGTGAGAAGTTTGAAAAATAGCGCCAAGGGAGTTCAAATGCATTAACTAAGAATCAATTTCAAGTGTATAAGAATGTCTTTCACTTTCATTCGCAGCAAATTCGCGTGACGGACTTCCTGATTTCTTTTTTCAATGAATTTAAAAGATCGCATTTTTCTCATTAAAAATTTTTTTAATTGAATTTTTTTTTCTACGAATAAGAAGCGAGTTTTTACCGAGTCAGTTTTGCTTTGAACAATCGATATTGTTACCGTATTCTATCGATCCATTGTCGTGCAGCTTTATGCATTCCTGTTATTAAAATGCAATTCCATGCACTATTGAATTAATAGTCAGTGAATTATACCACAACTAGAACTATCATTTATTCTTTGGCAGGTATAATTGCATATGTGATTACGTGAATAATTAGATGCTACTACAATTTATGAACAGCAGTGAAAGCTGTAAAAGAGACTTGAAAGACTTTGGTTTCAAAAAACTTATATGATCTCCTTTAATGAGAAATTATCGTAAATTTTGATATTATTAGCGTTTGCTTCTAATAAATAAAAATAAATAAAAATAAATATTTCTTTAGCTAATTTTATTTTCTTGTTATATTTCTTGACAGAAATTCTTTTCTTGTCAATAACCGCAAATTTTAGCACTAATTTATGTTACCGTACAAAACTAATGAAAAATATTGATCGATAATACTGATGTATATTCATATGTATTTCTTCGAATAATGAGCAATAAACTTTTTTTCGTAAATTCGTTTCATCCAGCACTTTATTCTGTACTCCACTATATAATCCACACTGCGACTTCTTACTATTATCTACAAACGAATTTAATGATACGGCACATTTTCATCAATTTATTTTGTCTGAACACTGACGTGCATAAAAATTCATTTTTAATCTTTTTTCTGTTCTAAAAAATTATGTATATTTATAAAACGCATAAATTAAAAATGCAAATGTATTTTAATGAAGATGTTTTTATCTATTTTAAGTGTTGTCATTTGCATTTTAATTTTACAGCGATAATTAATGAACAAATTTTCATTTTTGTTATTATATTTGACAATTCTTATTAGCATATTGGAATACCAACGTCGTAATTACAAAATAATAAAAAATCGATTCGAGCGAAATTTATATCTCAACTTTTTTTTCAATTGTTCAAAATTTACTCAATGTTAATAGAATAACATAAAGAAAGTGTACACATAAATAAGGATGGAATTTAGCTCATCATTGTCCTAAGCGGGACGCAGTGGATTTAATATTTTTGGAATGTAATTTCTGAAATATTTAAATTAATTTTATCCTATTCAATAATTTTTGCTGCAATATTTTCTTAAATTTTAAGAACTTTAGGTATTCGATCATAAAAGAATGACATAAATAAAATAATAATACGCCTGCATCATAAGACTTTATACTAACCTTTATACTAACTATTATTTTGAAGAGGAATTTTTCATGTTTCGATGAAGATAAGCAAATGTAGTCGTAATCCTTGATCTGTTTTAGATATAAACCAACGAGGTTGTGGGGTTTCAGCGGACACGTACAAACTATCGTCCACAGCATTATAGGCCGTGTTCGGTGTCCTTGGCCCATTGGAGAACGTGTATACATCGGTCTTCCCGATGGGACTACCCTTACGTATGATCTTTATCAACCACTGACTAATGGACATGAAGGTATTATAAATTAATAATAAAAATTAACAATTTTTAATTTACAATTAATTTATATTATTTTTTCAAAAACGTTTTAACTGTCTTTAATAATGAAAAAGTTGTTTTTCAAATTAGATTTCCTCAATTAATAATTTTTATTCTAGATGACATAACGATAGCTATCTGTCCTGGTATTGGCAACAGCTCGGAGAGCGTGTACATTAGGACATTCGTGCACTTTGTGCAATGTCATGGATATCGATGCGCAGTACTTAATCACGTCGGGGCCCTTTCAAGTGTCAAGATTACAGCACCCAGAATATTTTCTTATGGTATGTGTGACAATCGATAAAACTTATCTTACTAGGACGAGGTGATCGATTGAGGAAAATTGGCGGATAGTAACTACTTCCTATGTCGCGCGAGTATGTACACATCGCAAGAATGTTAAATTATATAGCTATAGAAAAACCTACTCCGATGTAGATTCATGAAACTTTCCGGGTTACACTGTTAGTACGTCTTACAATTGTATTCATAAATGTGATTGATATAATCGATAAAAAAATTTTTCAACAAGAATGATGAAGAAATTGTAATCAAAATTATGCATTTATATTTCGCATTCCGTATCTATATCTTTTTTCTTTAAATATATATTTCTTAAATAAAATTTTATATATATTTGTTTACAGAAATGCTTTTTTTTATTTTACAATGTGCATTTTATATAAACAGGTCACACGGATGATTATAGCGCGATGCTACAACATTTAATAGAACAACACCCTAACACCAAAATAGTTTGTATCGGATACAGTTTAGGTGGCAATTTAGTAACAAAATATCTAGGAGAACGCGGTTCCAACAAATTGCCTAATATTATAGGAGGGATATCGATTTGTCAAGGATACAATGCTCTCAAGTAAGTAAATGGATATCTTTGATTTACAATTAAAATGAATTGATAAGAAGAATATTATTTGCTGCATACGTTTTTCACAGGGGAACGAAAATTCTATTAAATTGGCAGAACTTTAGACGATTTTACCTCTATGTAATGACTGAATCAATGAAGAATCTTATTCTAAAACACAAAAATATGCTTTTGTCCGAGGATGTAAAACAAAGATGTAATTTGAACGAGCGAGACATAATTTCTGCTGCAACGTTACCTGAACTGGATGAAGCTTATACGAGAAGGGTAAGTTTAATTTTTTTCAAACACACAATTATAAAATTTAAATAATGAATCCGATTTTTATAAACTGTTTTATTGTTTAGGTACACAATTTTAGGTCTGTGCAAGAATTGTACAAGTGGAGTAGTTGTCTCTTTTACCTAGATAGCATTACAACGCCGATGGTATTCATCAACGCGTTAGACGATCCCATCGTGCCGGAGGTGTTATTAAATCCAATCAAAGACCACGCGGGTAAATATCTAAATATGTAGTTTGCATGTATACGAAAATAAATAATAAATAAAAATATACTAATCTCTCATATTTTTTTAATTTCAGCAAATCACTTAAATACATTGTATGTGGAACTAGCTCATGGAGGTCATCTAGGTTTTTATGAAGGTGGTCTTCTGTATCCAAATCCTATAACATGGCTGGATCGAACCCTAGTGTCCCTTGTGGGATCTCTGACTCTAGCGCACGCAGACAAGGCTCTTAAAGCCTCTTAACCCAATTTAGTTTGGTCAATGTATTTATGTTATTGGATATTTATCGATATTGTGTCACACATTCTGATGTTGTGAGATCAAGCACTGTGCACCTGATTCACATTTAGATAATCGGAAAGATTTATAACGATAATCTGCAACAAGACTACAATGAAAATGGAAACGGCAGATTGTAATGAATAAAAGTATCTGGTACATGCTTTGATTGTTTCACGAAGTGAACAGACAGTATCTTTCACAAACGATTCAGAAGGAATAAATGATAAGCGCGACTGTAAAATAACAAACGTTTGCTCACTAACATTTTTTAAATTGAGTATAGTTCAGGAAAGCTAGCCAAATTGCGTAATTCTTTATATATAGTAAAATTTTATTATGCAATGTGGCACAATCAAAATTAGCTTAATTATTTGAAAAAGGGAGTAGAAACGAAATGAATTTTCAATATTTTACTAAATACTAACGCTTCTTTCTCAGGGATCTTCTATAGGGCAACAATTTGATAGTAGGACTTTCAATGATCCTTAACAAGTTACTAGAGATGCTCTGTATAAGGATTCAATCATGAATACACGTTGGATGTGAGTTTAATGCAATACAGAGTTTTGTGTACTTTTCACTAAAAAAACTTGTATTTATGTATAATATGTATTAATATAAGATGTATATCGACTTAAAACATATTTATAAGCACATCGTAAATGTGTTTATTCTAAGACCAGTATTCATAATGAGTTCTTATATTTAAGATCACTTTCAGTATAGTCTTAAGATGTAAGAGCATGAATTAATCACAGAGCCGTATTAGAATCTTGAGACATTACTTAATATAGTCTTGAAATAAGAACGGATTCTATGAATATCGACCTAAGATTATTAGCTTTATCGATATGGAAGGTTTACCGCTGTTGTATATATAATAAATGATATACGTTATTTAATCCGGAATTGATAATAATGTTAAATTTGCAAGGAATCCTATTAAATCAAATTCAATATTTAAGTCTAAAATATAAGTGAAATTGTAAGTACTTGAGTGTATACACGAAATTTTGTAAATAATACATTTTTAGCTAAAATTACAGTAAATTACTACGAAAAATATTGAGTTTAACAAATTCAACATTATTACTGCCGGATTAAATGTAAATATTAGTTTACAAGGTTTTATGCAAGAGTATAACAGCTGTTTCTAACATAATTTCCGACATTGAGTACGAATCTATCAAATGTCATTGAAATGTTTCCATCTGATTTTTGAGATATAAGAAAAGACTTTCCAATATATACATTAAAATTTTATTGAAATTAGAAAACAATTTAGAAGTGTTGAGTGTAATTTTTGTTTTTTTTTTTTATATATATAACTTTGGAGCAGTTTTATGTATGAGAGTTCAGCAGTAGCAAACACGTTTTAGTTCCAATATCCCTGCTAACATTTCACAATTATCATATTCAATGTTCGCCTTGCTCGTCGTTGTCGCAAAATTATTTGGAAAGAATTGGGTGTGAATGCTGAAAAATATAAATTTTTACACATATATGCAATATGAGACAATACTATTTCATAATAATTTTTTAATAGATTTGTTTTTAACGGTACTACATCAATGTACTATGTCTTAAAAATTCGATTTAATGGATTATTTTTAACAGCAGATTCGAACTCAGCACTCCAAAATATATTTAAAAAGTTGTTCCTTCTTTGCACTTAAAATTTGTAAACTGATGTAATTTGTTTGCATCATAATATGCAAATTTATTTATAATATCAAATAGGAGACATCTTCATCATGATCAAAATGCGATTGTATTCGTATTTGATAAATGATATATATTACTTAATTGTGCAGATATTAATCATTGTGAACTATATCACATGTCGAATTATTTTACAGTATATTATAATATACTTGTTAATTATTTGATTTAATGTGTTCTTACTCTGATGCAATGATGCAAATGTACAATAATTGTATTTCATATATTGTGTTCACGAAGTTTAAGTTTGATTAAATTTTAGTCCAGAATTGTATAATATAACAAATTAATATTATATCGAGTGATTATATCGTACATTTACCGTGATAAAAAATACCAAATATTTCTTAATTTCCCATTTTATACTCCATATTGATAAAGTTGATATACAATAATTTCTGATGTCAGATAATATATTTCAATTTGTAGATTTATTAATATGTCTGTGCCGATCTTAAGATTTAACTGATATTTATTTCCTATTGTAGTTTAATGATAATAGTTTCTTAAACGGTACTAATGATACGGACGATTTCACATTAAATTAGGCAGCAAAGAAGCGAATATTTTAGTTCTTTCTAAACTTATTTGCATTTGTATATAATATATTTATTTAAAACTTTAATGCCATAATGATAACGCTTTCTGAGATATCAAACTTTGCGTATTTTGATATTACAATATTTTTGAATAACGTTCCAATTTCTAAAAAAGATAAAAATTTCAATTTAACACATAAGATTCAAGGATCAATTAACCAACTTAAAATGCATTTATTATACAAAATAGATTTTTAAATAACATTTCTATTTAAATATACTTTCTTGAGATAATAATTCTTTCTTCTTAAGTTTTTTCTTTTTTTCTTTTAAAATTAAAATAATATTTCTCGATTTAAGATAAGTCTAAATAAAAATTGTGATTTTTAAGAATTTTCTTTTTAAATAAAGTATAATTTAATGTAGTATGTGTAATCTAGTGTTAAAACAAGGTTTGATGTTTTTTTAATAAGCAGCGTAATCTTTTAACAATGAAATGAAAAGTAGCAGTTAGAGAAAATTTAATAATTTTTATAAGTTATATTTCTTCTAGTTGTCTAAAAAAATATAATTCATACAATTGATATAACCATAAACCATATATCTACAAAAATCGGATTAACATTCTAGTAATATAAGTAAAGAGCTACGATATCAAACGATTCGAACAATAAATTTGAAATATATAATTATAAAATTAAATTTTTCTTTTAACTGCTAAATGTTTGCTAAAAGACTAGCATGCAAACAGCATTATGTAAACTTTGCTTAACAATTAGTAATATATAAACTATGCAGTTTTTTATTTCTTAGCGAAATTAAAATAATACAGTTAGGATTTACCTAGTTGCACATTTCAGCCGATTTTCAACTTGGTTGATCGGCATTTAGGCTGCACGCGGGTTGATGAAGAAAGGAGCGAGAACCAAGAAAATCGATCGAAATGTGCAACTAAATACCAACTGAAGTAATATAAACAATTTAAATAAATTATGTTTTTCTTCTTTGTTTCTTAAAACTATTCTAAGTTTTCTGCTTTCCACACTTTAATTTTTATCATGACATATTTTCTTCTCTCATTTTCTCTTACTCTATTATAAATATTGTTAAATAAATTTATTAAATAAATTTTGTGTGAAAGTATAATTTTTAGTTTAAACATGTATTAAAATCGAAATTATTCCACTTTTCATGGGATTATTACATATACTATGATTCATAGCTGAAATACTTCTGCAAATATCTTTCCGATGAAATATATGTAAAAGAATGCGTTATTTTTTTATTTATCTGATGTTTTGTTTTTAAACATTTTGTTTCCTTTTACTGTGTTTGGAGTCTGAAAAAAGTTAGTACGTAATAAAGAAAATATAACATTTATTAGATAATTCTAAATATTTTAAATAATTTTTTAAAATAATTATTTGAAAAAACTTCATTGTCAACTAAAGACAGTTTACAACAAAATTATTTTTTATAATCAAATATTATCTTGATACATGAACGCCTACATGCATAAATAAAGAATAAATGCATAGGAATACATAATCTTGTATATTTAAAAAAACATACGAGATATAAAATTACAAAACTCAGAAGAGAATGATTAGAATAATTTGCTCTACATTATTTATAATAATCACGAAATCACACGAATTACTTTTTATGTTATTAATTGTGGGTACAACATTAAATTTTATTTATTTTTTGAATATTCTCAAGATATATCTTCTCATTCTTTATTTCGACTTATTTTCAAAAACTGAAAAATGTAAAAGGTATATTTTTGAAATTTGCAACTTAAACTTAAAAATTCGATATTTTTTAAAAAGCACCATGATTACGACACATTGAAATATATTATAATATACAGGAGGTTCCAAATTTTTTTCCATATCGTTTGTGGGTAGGTAGATTGGACAAACTGAAAAATCAAAAAGTTTGGAATCCTGTATATTATAGTAGTATAAGTTTCAATATTATATGCAATTATAATAAATTTTGATGGAAATATTCTCGTTCATTTTCTCCTATTTAACGTGAAATGTTGTATATCCATTTGAAAACAACTCTTACAACCTTTTAATTACAATCTGTACAACAGCAGAATAAAGCTGATCATGTTTCTGTTTAAACTATTTATTTTATACAATAAAAAGCGATTTATATATGATATACCAAATCGACCAAATATCGTAGATTTGAATATTTATTTTCATGGTAATTTATTCAGAAAATTCCAATCTACAATATCAGAATAATGCAAACATTTATATTTAGTATGACAAATTAAATATTCAAACTCTTTTTAATCACTTGAAAGCAATCTCTACAAATATGTCAAACTATTATATACTGATACTATTATATATATAGTATATATAGTATATATATATAGTATCAAGTATCAATAAATAAATATCACTTATAAATTTTATTTATACAATTTTGTACAATTTTGGAAAAATAATGAAAGAGACAATAAGCTTTAAAATATACATAAAATTGAATAATTAAATATTAAATATTTTTTATTCGCAAAATTATTCTCGATTTTTGGATACATAATGTATATTTATTTCTTACTGGTATAAATATACCTTTGTAAAATTCGATGATAGAATTTTCTCTTTATTTATAAACATTTTCCACTTATCTGTATACTAAATTGATCTTGATACAAATGTATACACTGATAATATCATACATTACTCAAAATGTAAAATTAGTGAAATTTGATATATGTATTGAATGTAACAAATGTTATAACTTATGAATATTTTAATGTTTGTTATTGACATATATATGTTACAACATGTACATATATATGTTACATAATTTTGAACATCCAAAAAATCATAAAAATGCAAATTTCTTTAGCAAAAATAATTCTACGTAATGAGAAAAAAATAAAAATGTACAAATTGAATTAAGAGCTGTTTAAAAATCAAGAAACAATGATTTCACATATAATTTCATCGTTAAAATTTTATCTTTACTGCGACTGATAGAATTTAAAGTAATTATACAATTTGCATGACTAAACGATTTTTCACATTAATCAATTCTTCTTTATGTTGTGATATAAATTGCATTTGGAAGTTAATGGCAAATACATACATTTTTCTAACTATCGTATTATTTAATAACGACAATTTTGTTTAACAGAATGTATATTCTGGTCGCCATTACATGTGGCTATATGTGAGATTTTATCTTACATATATATCTGTATACGCATTCTAGAATATAAGGGAATAGAGAAAAGATTTATTGCTAATCGCAAGACTTAAATCGAAGCGCATAGGATGATTTTATTGAGCTTGTA